GTGTCATCCCTGTCCAGGGTGTATCCTGTGTCACACCATATGAAAGCAGTGAGGGGGCTCCAGCTCCCTACGACCCTGAACTGGATATGTGGCTAATAAAATGGATGAACAGATGACTATTTAAGATCCACAATTTTTATAGTAGACTGTCTACCTCTAAATTTTAAGTTCCTACATGATAGTTACTCGATTTTTGTGATGTTGTTTTTACTTTTGGACTTCACCTTAAATTTTACATACTGGAGGATGTGATAAACTACCAGTGCTCTCAGACTCACACAACAATGTGTGTTATTGTGAAAAAATATTTTGTTTTGCTTTCACAAGTCACAAGTTTTTCAGGAAAAGCCCAAAACTGAAATCACAAGCTTTCCACATGACTTCGGGAGCACTCATTTCACCTAATCTCAGTAACGCCATCACAGCTTGGATGAGTCCACAGAGGAGGCTGAGCAGCACGGCTCGGTGAGGCTGCCCTCCCACCACAGAGAAGCATAAGAGGGACATGATGGCCGTGGGGCCCAGGGTCACATCCTTGGAGGTTCCCAGAAAGGTGTAGATGAACCCCCCCATGAAGGCCGAGTAGAGTCCGAACTGTGGACAGAAAATAAAATAAAGTCTGAACTAATTATGCAGCTATTTATTTTTTCATCTTAAAGCTCATGTCTCGGGAAAAGAGGAAAGCCAAATTAGTTATCCAGAGTGAGGTGAACCCTAAAGGACAGCCTAAGACTCGCCTGCACAGGAAGGCCGGCCACTTCAGCATAAGCCAGCGCTTGTGGTACAGTCGTCAATCCAACAGTGAGACCCGCAAGGACGTCCATCTTTAGCCATTTCAGGTTGTACTTTGGCAGCCATGAGAGGATGGGCAACCAGGCCTTCAGGGTGCTGTAGGAACAGCAGCACCGGGCTGACTGTCTTCTCATCAGACGCCGCTGCATCACACTTAGAGGTAAAGACCGGCGGGAGAGGAATTCAGCAAAGAGACATCTGTAGCAGAAAAAAGTAAAATGAACAAAACAAAAGCCACTCACACAAAGCATGAGTTCTCCCCTCAGCTTTAAATGTCATCAGCTTTGCTGGGTGCTGCTCAGGTTCCCGTTTTTTCTTTTTATTTCCTACCTCCTGCTGAGATATGCAGCATTCAGGAAAACGCCACAAAGATGCTGCTCGTGCAAGCAGGTGTCAACCTGTTTGTTTCCATTTCTTCAAGCCGAGGACATATCTTCAGGTGCATGCTGTGATCTGCGTGCCACACAAAAAAAGAACCATTCACAGGCTCACTGTGTGTCATTTACAATCATATAACGGTCATATGACAGCTGGGTGCTTTGCATACCGGTATCTGAACAGTCAGGACTTTTTTTTTTATGAAGTCACCTTTACCTTCAAACTATAAACTTCCTCATCAGAAACGTCCAACAGATAGGTCCACAGTCTTACGTGAACTTGACCTGATACTTTATCTCCCACTGTGTCTGATTATGAGTCTGTTACCGAGACTATAACAACCTTGTAATTATCAAAAAATAATGATAATACACTAAAAACAGTGATGTGTTTGAGTGCAAGAGAGAAGAATGCACAGAAGAGACTGAATTCGTATACTACAGAAATGAAACAAAATAGAATAAAATAGAAATCTGACAATATAATATAAAATAACTCCACAGTGTTTAACCGAACTGAACCAAAATAGACTAAAATAGACAAGAACAGACCAAAATATAGTAGAAAAGAGTAAATAAAATAGAATAGAGTCGAATAAAACATAAATTCTTACACGGCGTGATGCTTTCTCTTGGCTGGGCTGTGATTTTTCACGTCCTTCTCTACTGTTCCTTTTGCTAAACCCACTTCTCCAAAAACATTTCGCTGACTAGGCGCGAGATAAGTCGTTTCCTGTTTTTTTTTCTCCTCACGTGACTTGTGTCGTGTGACTCCCAGTGGGCGGGGTTTGAGTTGTTTGAGGAAGCATATTTCACATCGTTCCAACGATGCCTTTAAGTGCTAGCTTTAGCGAGTTTTGTTTTCATATTTAAAGTTTATTTTTCTGTGGAGTAATAGAGGAAGAGGCCAGCATGCTCGCTCGGGTTGTTTTTATTATTTTTTTAGCATCATGTTGCATCGGAGAGTCCAAAACAAGAAATGTGCTTCTAATAATTGGTGAGTTTACGTTTTTGTGCTCCTGGAGAAACTATAAATCATTTCTGTTATCTGGCTGGAAATTTAAAATGCTAAAATACACCCTCCTGTTGCCATTACAATTCTCTGCAAAAATCTCGAGCCACCCTTTAATTCGTTATATAACAGAGATTCAATAGTTCCCGAAGTTTTTCATTGGACACTGGCTGCTTGTTAACTCATTTTCAATCCACTTAAAAGTGGCAGGCTTAAAAAAATATCTACAGCATTAATGATTAATGATAGCGAAATGGGCAAAAGGCTAAAGTACACCAAATTACACAAAAATTGAACTGAAAATCAGCAGTAACAGTCTTTTCTCCATCTTGAATCCACACATGAATCCAAATTTGAGATTGTTGGTTCAAATCATTGTTAGTATCTACAGAGAAGATCAGGAGAGAGGTACAACAGCGAGTGTCTACAGCTATCTGTAACAGTGCAGGCTCTGTCATGGTTTGGGGTTGCAGTTGGGGATCATAAAAACTGATGGACACTGAGATGGATGCAGAAAGCGTCTTACTAAAAACAGCTTTAATTTTTCAGGATGATCAAATGATCTCAAATGCACCGACAATGTAGTGAAAGCATGCCTGGATAGAAAAACACATACTGGAGTACCATCAGTCATGGATTGGCCTCCCCAGAGACTTTATCATTATAGTGATAGGGAACAGTGCAAAAGAACAGCTTTGAATGTCCTTCAAGCCTGGAGAATGATTCCTGAAGACTGCTCAAAAATTTTTATTATCGTACAAATATTCTATAAAGGAATGTGTTTAAAGTAAAACTAATCTAAAATGATCTTTCAGAAAATGCCAAACAATTGAAAAAAAAATGAAAACTATACTCAGGGAAAAAGAAAAATGTCAGTGTCTCTTTACATGAAGCCTGATCCACCAAGAAACACTTTTCCTACTTAAATCCTCTGCACTGAACCCCAACCTTAAACCCATCCTGTACTTCTGAGAAGAACTGGAATTGTGACTCAAAGCCAGGTTTCATTACCTTACTGACTTTGCAAAGCAGTATGTAGATGACAAAGATTTTAGAGATTATTAAAAGTCAGTTATGGGCATTTTGTTTGAGCCCCCGCGTCAGTTTCTGTCTTTTCCTCCTCACAGCTGATGATGCAGGTTTCGAGACAGAGGTTTATAACAACTCTGTGGTCCACACGCCTCACCTGCGCTCTCTGGCTCAGCGCAGCGTGGTGTTCAAGAACGCCTTCACATCTGTCAGCAGCTGCTCACCCAGCCGCTCCGCCATCCTCACCGGCCTGCCACAGGTGAGACACGCACACCTGTAAATGCCTCTCATTAAAGCGAGGTGAATTATTGAGGTGTGTTTCTCTTGTGGTTTCCAGCATCAGAATGGCATTTATGGACTTCATCAAGGAGTCCATCACTTTAATTCTTTTGATGAAGTACAAAGTCTGCCGCTGCTTCTCAAACAAACCAACGTACACACAGGTAGTTAACAAAATGACCCGTTTTTCTCATGTCTATAAATAAATCATTCTTATTTTTTACTTTTTAAACTCACTGTTTCTTTCTTCACAGGTATAATTGGAAAGAAGCACGTTGGCCCTGGATCTGTTTACCCCTTTGACTTTGCCTACACAGAGGAAAACAGCTCTGTCCTCCAGGTGGGGAGGAACATCACTCGCATTAAACTCCTGGTCCGCAAGTTTTTCCAGACTCACAAAGAGGAAGCCTTTCAACGAAAGAACGGGAAAAAAGCAGAAAAAAGTAACCGGGAAAATATAAAGAATGAAGACAGGCCGTTTTTCCTTTATGTTGCCTTCCATGATACTCATCGATGTGGACACTCGCAGCCCCAATACGGAGCCTTCTGTGAGAAGTTTGGGAATGGTGAAAAGGGGATGGGTAGAATCCCTGACTGGACACCACAGTATTACACACCAGACCAAGTAAAGGTCAGAGAAATCCCAGTTTCTGCTTTAATACCTGTTTTTTGTCATTATTTTACAGTTTTAAAAAGAAAAAGGCTATAAAAATCAAAGCAGGCTAGTCCATTTTGCTGAAATTTCATTGCAGCAGCTGACATTGTTGTATGCATGCCTGACAGTGTCAGGGCATGCTCCTACTGAGATGGTAGATGGTATCATGGGGAATTTCCTGTCTGAGGTGCAACCTGGCAGCATCAGATAGCATGAAACATAACATACCAGAGTTGTTCTATTGGATTTAGGGGCCCAGTCGGTGGTTTCAGTTACTTCATCCTCCAGAGAGTGCATGCATACTCTCGCCATACTCTCGTGCAACTGGAGGAACCCAGGAAACCACTGTGCCATTGTACTGTGTGTGCCGTTGCCTAGCCTGTAGTAGTCTGTGCATCCCTGCATTAATATGCTTCCCCAGACCATCACAGAACCATCACCAAACTGGTCATGCTGAACAACATTACAGGCAGCATTATTCTCCAACTTCTCCAAACCCATTCCTGTCTGTCACATGTGCTCAGGATGAGCCTGCTCTCATTAATGAAAAGTACAGGGTGACAGTGGTGGACTTGCAAATTCTGGCATTTTATAGTAAATGACAGTCAGGCTCTATGGTGCCGGGCAGTGAGCACAGGACCAACTAGAGTACACTAAGCCCTCAGTGCACCGTCATGAAGTTTGAGACATTCACACCAGTGGCCTGCTGTAGGGCTCCAGATCAATGTTCCAGATGTTGGCTTGATGCTATACTCTGGTTAAAGTGTTTCTTTAATTATTTTTGAGCAGTGTATATACAAAACTGTTTACTGTAGTAGTATGTTTTTGTTTCTGGGATTGTGCCTCCCAAAATGTGGCTCTGCAGATTTCTGCAAAACTGCTCATTCAAATGAAATGAGTGAGTCAAGTCATTTGTTACAGGAAACTAAAGACAATAAATAAATGAAATTAAACAAAACATATACTCAGGTTTTTCTGAGAACTGTTTAAACCATCTGACTGATTAAGTTGTATAAAAGTTAGGACTGTTTTGGCCAGATGTCATATTTTTCACACCAAGTCAAAAGTCTGTTTAAATGTCAGAATTAGCTGTAGTTACAGTTACGTGCTTTGGGAGTGCATTAATGTTAATAAAAGTGTGGTCACTCATGATGTACTCGCCTAACAATAAATACTAAACGGAGTACTCATCAATGATGGTTTTATCACTGACTTCATATTTGACCAAACACCAGATAAAGCATTTAAGATTTGGTCTTGAGCTCATTGCTGCTTTGCATTACAGCCTGCACAGGCTGCAGTTGAAATTAACAGAAATTTCCAAATGCCAAAATTTTCCACAGCTTTTTCTTATCTCCCAGTTTGTCTTAGTCTTTACTTCTTTTTTTTTTTTTTTTTTTTAACTTTTCAAGTTACCATGATATTTGAATTAAAGCTACAGAACTTTAACACATGATAATGCAGAATTTCCTCATCTTGTGCACTTCAGGTTCCTCCTTTTGTGCCGGATACACCTGCATCACGAGCTGACTTGGCTGCACTGTACACCACAGTGAGCCGGCTGGATCAGGGTGCGTAACGGTTTTATAACATAGAAAAAGAAGGTTGTAAAACACTAAACTACGATGCTGCGCATATCCCCTGCAGGTATCGGTTTAGTTCTTCAGGAGCTCAGAGAAGCCGGTTATGAGAACGACACTCTGATAATCTACAGCTCAGACAACGGTATCCCCTTCCCGAATGGCAGAACCAACCTGTATCACTCTGGAACGGCAGAGCCGATGCTGGTGTCCTCTCCGGAGCACAGGGAGCGTTGGGGAGACACCAGTGAGGCCTACGTCAGCCTGCTGGGTAAGAAAATTAAAGATACAAGGAACGATGCAAATGGACCTTTTCTCAGTATTTTAGGCCTTAAAATTAAGCAGCTATCCATTATGAGCACAGAGTGAACTGCAGGTTAAAGTTAAATACTGATGCCACTCATTTCTAAACCTTTCTGGATTGTGAATAACAAACAATAAAAAAGTTCTAATAATTACTATCCAGTAAAGAGTGACAGAGCAGAAGAGTCAGTGTGTTGATCTGAAGCAGCCACTAGATGGAGACTTAACAACAGAGCATGAAATATTGATAGAAGGATAAAAAAATTAATAGAGTAATAGACTGTACCAGTAGGGGTAGAAGTATTTTCTCAACCTATCAACAAATACTAACAAAAATACAGAGATATGTGGCTTTCTTTTTCTTTCTTTTGACGGTGTTGTATAAATATGAGGGTATCCCTTAGTTTAAAATGTACTATTTAAAGCTAAGGGGTCTTATATTTTG